TAAAATACCTTTTAATAAAAAATAAAAAAAAAAAGAGAGAGAACTTCTCTATTTGTAATCTGGACTAATCCTTATGATTCCACTTATTTTGTTGGGGTGGAGAGAATAGAGATGCTCTTTCCTGTTTCCGTTGCTTTCCTTGTTTATTTTTTGAATGAAACCATGTAATTTATATCTTATCTGGTCCCCCATTTATACAACTACTAGCGGTTACACTCTGTTTTGGCTCATGCCCAATTTCTCACAGTTATTGAGAGAGATGAGCAAAGGAAAAGGAAAGAGGTTAAAAGGTCCCCCACTGCTCCAACCTAAAAGTTATTAATGCTCTTAACAAATGTATATGGAAACACTCACTAACCTGTCTGCGAAACTGCATGGGGGAAGTCTTTGGCGTGACAATATTCAATTTGCATCACTTGGGACCACTCTTTTTTCTTACATCTTTTCTTTTGTTTTTATTTTGTATAATCTTTTTTTTTTTTTTACCCTTTAGCTTTTGAGAGAGTCTTCAACTATATTCTATACTCAAAGTAAAATTAAATTATATGATAATTAATATATCCCCTCAGTTCTCTTCTTATTCTTCTTCTATTTAAACCCTCCTCTCATCGCTCTCTTCTCATCATAGAGCCTATCACTGCTATTGCTATCAAAATATATAGGCTCTTCCTTTTAGTGTATGGTCATTCATGGTGGTTTTAATTGGTTTTCTAGGCCTTTTGAGTGAGGAGCGTGTGCATATTTTCTTAGGTGCTCCACCATCAGATGAAGCTGCCAGCATGATCTTAATTTCCCTCTTTTTGTTGAGGAAAGATCAGATCATGTGGCAGTTTCACCTGTTGCTGCTTGCACAATCCAAAAAAAAAAAAAAAACCCTAATTTCTCTCACAATGAAACCCTAATTCCCACATCTTTCTCTTTTGTTAACACCATCATTTCTGTTTTCTCTCAACCCCTAGAAAAAGTTTGTCATATCTAAACCTCTTTGTATGATTTCAGGCTTATTTGGATCTCTGGGGTTTCTTTAATTTATCTATGAATATTTTGCTTTGTACATATATATGTTAGAGCATAGATTTTCTTTTCATTTTTTGCCGCAGATGTTTGAAACTTTTACACTGGAATGCTAACTGTTTTTAGGTTTGTTAATGTTTTACGTGACAGGAATTTGTGGGTCTCGGTGCAGTTTCGATGATTTCAAGATCCCAAATCAGTACTGCTTTGGTGATTGAGCCACTCTGGTATTATCCTTAAACCTTCCGTACAGTTCTCCTTTAATAAATTCTGATATATCAGTATATATCTACTGGTTATTTCCTCTGTATGATAAGCTGTTTGTTTAGGGTTTTTCATGACATATGGTTTTGTAGCTCAATTTTGTTATAATTCTATTTGCTCTTTCAGGTTTTCCATGAACATATTTTTATATTTGTTTTAGGACTCCACCCTGCTACTAATTTGGGTTTGAACTCTACCATATTTGGTGTACCTATAGCTAAGGCTTGTTTTTTGAAAATGGGGTTTATTCTTTGAAATCCACCTACAGCAGATTTACAAAATCAGAGGGAGAAAAAGTAAGTGACTTTAATTCACATGCCCTGTGAGGGTTTAAAGGTTGTAAACATGGGTTTCCCATCTCTTTTATTCTTGTAGCTTGGATCCATCTTTTTCGAGTTGCAAAGATTTTGTGAATCTGAGAGAAGGTAGAGAAAGAGGGGGTGGATTCGAGAGAGAGAGTTAAACTTACAAATTTTTTGTGTTATTTTTAAATTATGTCAAACACAAAACGTTTATATAGTCATAGGATCTTAAGTAGCAGAATGTTCTTTCTTGAGTTTGCTGAACTTGTGTCATGGAAGCAGCTGTCTTTGATCGATGGAACAGGAGGTGGAGCATTTTTTACATATAGGAGTCTTAGATGACTATAGCAATAGAAAGAAAATTTTGTTTTATGTGAAGAGTTTTAACTTAATTTCTGAATCTCGCTAATATTCCACTGTATATCTTCTCTTTTTCAGCTTAATTATAGTTGCTTATTCTGGCGTAATAGAAGCATATGAGTGCAACTTCAAAGTCAAAAGAGCATATATATATTGGCAAAGTAATCAAAATACATACTAAAACATTTTGTTGGGAGCAAAACAATGAAACCTGTCGCCTAATACCCACCATGAAGCAAATGGAAGATCAATTTTGAAGTGCTTGTAAGTTATAAGTTCCTTCATGGGAAGAGAAAATGACAGAAAAAACATGACTATAACTTTGTTCTCATTTTTTTCCAGCTTACAGTACACGAGTAATATTTTGGCTGCATGCAGTTTCCGTCTAAATAGATCTGCTAAAACCAATATGATTTTTTTTCTTAAACCTTATTACAGGAGTGTGATTAAGAGCTGTTAATTGTTCATTCAAAAACTAAGTTTATATCATGTGAAACTCCTTATAGTTTTCATGAGTAAATGTTATCTGATGAACTGATCTTCTCACTGAGTTCTCTCTCTCTCTCTCATCCATCTATACTGGAATTTGGCTCTTCTCTTATGGTAGTTAGCTTTTCGTAGACTAGATTCCACGCATCTCTCATATTTCCTAACTAATAAAGTACCCAGAAATGTTATTAGTTTTGATTCCCCCCCACTGTTTCCAGAGTTTTTCATATGTAAGCTATCATGCATGAAGAAAAACTAGAGTGATGATTCATTGACAAGTACTCCTTACATTCCATTTAAAGATCCTCTTGGGAATTAGCCCCCATCAAGCTATATCTTTGGCATCATTTAATCACTACTGTCTTCTTTAAAGGACATCAAAGATGGATTAACTTCATTCTCTGAAAGAGAAGTATTGATAAGAGTGCTGTACTCTTTAGTTCATCCAAATAACTTGAAATTAAAAATAAAAAAAATAAAAGAAGTGGGCTAGAACTGCCCATGTGTCTAGGGGAGACAACAATATGAGAATGGATTTGATACGTTTACCTACGGTCTGTTGGATCTCAGGAGGATAAGCAAAGGATGGTTCCCAATGAATATTGAATGTACAAAACTGAAAATCCTTTTGCTTGATTTTCAAGTTCTCACTAATGAATTTTGCAGTAAATATCGCATGTACACCTAGAAGGGATAAGAAAAATTACATCAAAGTGAGAACAAAAGTCCCAGAGCTTGCTTTTGTAAGGGAAGCTCCCGGACTTTGATGAGATTTGTTGTGATATTACTGTTTACAGTAATGAATAAAGTTAAAAGGAAAGTACTCCCTTACACTGCTAGTTATTAATTACTTGCATCTGATATACATGTCTGGATACTCTGATATCTATCAACTATGTTACAAATCAAGGGTTTTACCGACGGAAAATTGTATTGTATAGCCATTACATGGGAGAATTTGTTCTGTTTTTTTTTTGGACATGGGGATTCATTCCAAAAATGTATTATTTAAATACAACAATTAATATCACATTCCCATAAAATCTCAGATCATGTTCTATCCAACAATTAAAATGTACTATTCCTTTCTTTGAGGGGCACATATATGGCCTCAGGCCAGAGTTAGATAAAAGTGCCTGGCATGTTGAGTGAGTTAGTTCCAAATGGACTTCAATGAAAGATGAATTAATATCAGCATTTCTTTTCCTCTTGTTAGGAAGTGAAGATCATAAAAATCAAACCCCAAGTTAGAAATTAACATTCCTTTGGCACTATACATGTACAAAAGAAAAGGTCTTCTTACTGAACCCATTTTTTTTTCTCATTAATTCTATATAGATCACTTATGTAAAAGATATTGAGAGAGTAAGAAACCTTTTTTTAACAAAGAACCAAAACCTGGAGAAACTTTTGAATCATGAACCCTAAAACTCTTTTGCTGACTGATAGCAATAATATTTACTAGGTGATCAAGTTTAAATTGTCTAGAAAATTCATGGTAAAGGCCAGAGCTCGCGGAACTAATTTCATCCAACTCTTGAAAACAGTGGCTATTTCGAAAAACATAAATCAAATAATTTCCTGTCCAAAATGGCAAACTACTCACAGAGAATAAATGGTGACTTCTATTTATTTGTTTATTTTGGCCAAGGATTAAGTATATATATACCCATGCATGCGATGCGTGCTTTTGCAAAAATTATATGGCTTAAAGAAAAGATCTTATTCCTTAAAGAAAAATCAAGACCATTCACAAACACTAGATGCTCTCCATTCTTTGAGTGAAATAATAGAAAAATTATTATTAAGATAAAAATTAAAAAAAATCAGAGGAAATTAATAGGTTACACTTATCTAAATATGAAAGAAGCTATGAGAGTAGTACAGGTACAGTTATTAGAGTGAAAAAAAAAAAAAAAGGCACATAATGAGTTTAAAAATTTTTTTCTTCAATTACTAATATTTTTAATAAAAAGTCAAAAGATTTTAATACCTTTAAATATTTATTTTATTTTATATTTGAACGTTTGACTAATTTTGACTTGTGACGTCAAAGAATTAATAAAATGTTACATCTCATATAAAAAATTAAAGAATTATATCAAAGAAACAAAAAAAAAAACTATAAATATATTCTATAAATGTAACATAAAAGTAAACTAAAATCTCATATGATGAAAATTAAACCTAGAAATTAATTTTAAAAGGAATTAAAATATTGAACTAACAAGCTGTGTAAAACATGTCTAGAATTGATCATGTGGAGCGAATCAATAATTTTGCATTTGGAAAATCAGTTTAAAGAGAGCTGATGATGACAGATTTAAATTCCTCATCCAAAATCAATGCGCTAATGCTAGACCCTCAGTCTCAAGTCTCAACCTACCACAACCGAATACTCATTGGTAACAGCTTGGGGCTTCTCAAACTTTTCCTTCCCCATCATTTTCTTTTATTTCTTTCCTTGCTACCAAACAAAACTTAAAAACTGGCAGAGATATTGTAGCTGCAATATTAAGTATTAATCAATAATTTAAACATTAAACACAATGGGAAATACGACAAATTTTTTGTCTGAAATCTTTTGATGTCCGATAATCACTTTAAGTTTCGATTAATCCAGAGTTGAACTGGATTGGATCTTACAAAAAAACAAGCTTTCTCAAATTTATTTTTTTATTTACAAAACTCGAAATTAAAATTTTACAAAAATTGAGTTTCTTGCCGCTCTTATGGCGTTTATAGAGATACGACAATTTCATCAACAAGATTTGGCAGAAAGCCTTCTTTGCTTTTAGGTACATGCAGAGTTAAAATTTGGGCCTCAAAGGTCAATAATTCTCCCAACTCATGATAAGCCCCTCCATTGTTGATAGCTAAAAAACAAAAAAAGAAATCGAGCCTAACCCATTGTTGATAAGCTATGGAAGAAGCTTGAGCCCATTGAAGATGTGTGTCCAGACTCCAGTAACAAGCTCTCACGCGGGCTCAAACGCAGACTCCGGCAAGCAAGTGTCAGACAGGAAGAGCCAGACTTCTCAATACTCAACATTCGGTTAATTGAACTCCATCTTACTGTCCAAACATTCCACTGACTAGACATGAAACACTAATCCATTTAGCTTCCGAATCATCAGGACACACGCCTGTGGTAGAACCTTTAAAAATTGTATATAGGTAGTAATGCAGCTACAGCTCCTTTAAACAGTAACCCATTAAATTAACCAAATGAACACCCTAATGGGTCGGAGCAGTGATACTAGCCTTTTTTTTCACTTTTCTGGTTCCTGAGGTATTTGTTTGCACAGGGCATTTTCAATGATATTCTCTGGGATAAAATTCAGCAAGTATTCCAGCTTTGGATGAAATACAGCATACATGGAAGAAAGGGTGGGTGGGGAAGGGGAAACGAAATAAGATGGAACAACTTGTTGATAGGTGTTAGCCAAAATTTCCTACATCAAGATTCTAAATAAACATTTATTTACATAGCCTGGTTTAACATTCTATCCATCTAGAGTAGGGACTAAGAACTCCAGAGGACGACCTATGGTGTCATTTTTTTTTGACATTTTTTTTTTATCAAGGAACCCTGAATTTGGAAGACCTTACGACCATGCTTTAATCATTAAAACTGTACAAAGTAAATTCAGAGATGAAAAGCTATTCATCATTGCTGCATCTTCCGGCTCAACATCTCTTCATTCTAACAGTAGAACATTACTCGCTTGACATTCTCCTTCAAGGCTGGCAATGGCCGCACCCCGGATTCTCCTGCGGCCCTTGTGCCTTTGGTGTGACCTGTACCACCACCTGTTGATCCATTCTCTTGCATCTCTGGTTCCATGTAGAACCGGGCACGGAATGCAGCTAAATGTGCATAATATGCAGGAGGAACTGCAAACAAAACCGCATATCAGCAAAAGAAGCTACTAATCATTAATCAAACAGTTGGCTATTACGCCTCATGCTGGTGGCATCAAATATATTAAAATTAAGATTTTTCTTCATGGGTTTGACCAAATCCTTGTTTTCTAAGTCTAATATGAAATTCCCACTTCAAAATATGAGAAATTTGTAATTTAAACTGAAATGAACTTTTCAGTGTCCTAACAGCCTTCATCTTATTGTCCTTACAGGGGTAATGAAAGAAGCTTTGGTTGCAAGGATATAACATATAAAAACCTCACTTACCAACAGATACTGAGCGGGTGCACCTTGCATATGTGTAACAAAGGTTGTTTGTTAGAGACTGTATTCCATCTGCGGTAAAATTGTTTTCATCCCAAAGAACATGGTAGTGTGCTGGCCGACTTGTTCCCTAACAATATTAATAAAGATAAATTAATTCTAAAGTTAAATGAATAAATAGTTAATGCTACAAAGGATGCTTAAAGAATGAGATGATAGTTTATAGAAAAGTTATATGTTTAAATGATATGGGCAATGATGCAAACACAAATTTCTAGTACATCATGGTTTAAAAGTATAACTAGTTAAAAGCACCACTGATGTCGAGGTCACTACTTCAACAGTGTCAAATTCTACATGCATTATAGCTTTGCAAAGGTCTCACATACAAGTCTTGTTGAGTTCAGAGTACACACACATTCAACAATTCAAGAATCAAATGAAGAAAAAAAATACCTTTTTACTTTAAATTTAGCCCTTTTTTCTTTCTTACAGAGCTAGGGGAGAGCAAAATTCGGTTGAAACCGGAAAAACCAACAAAAACCAAATTTTTTGTGTAAATCAGATCAGTTAAATCTGATTATATGGATATTTCAGTTATTGGCTGGGTTTAAATGGTTAAAATGGTCAATTTTTTGTTTTAAAAGTTGAAACCGAATAAACCGAAATACCTAATTAAAAAAAAATAAACACCCCTTTTCTTTTGTTTTTTGAAGTCCTAGCCCCTCACTCTCAGCTCCATCTTCTGAAACCCAGCCATTTGCTGAAACCCATCTCCATCTTCTCCCCCAGGCCAGATTTGAGATCTCAGTTGGCGTTCTCACGTGACTCACCAGTCTCCAACCTCTCCTTTTCCCTCGTCTCTCAAATCCCACAATCCCTTTCACGCTTATCTTGCTTTGCCAGTTTTTTCTGTGCGCTGCACCGCTGCCATGTCTTTAATGCCGCACCACTCCGCATCTCTGCCTCTTTCATTCCTCAGTTCCTCTCTGTCTCTCATGCTCATCTCGCTTGCTGTCTCTCTTAAGCTTATCCTGCCTTCTCTTCAAGGCTTCAACAGTATCGAGGTAAGTTTTTCAAGATTTATCTTGAATTCTTGATTCTTGAATGACTAAAAGAAAAGGGAACGGTACTGCAAACTACTTCCGTTTCTTAAGCTATAAGCATAAATGTGTTTAAGTTTGTATAGATATAAAAAACCCCAAATCCCTAAAGTCTGCAACAACAATATAAAAAACCAATAAGAACCCGTTTCTCCGAATCAAAAGAAAACATGAACCCTATCTTGAAAACCCAATCAGCCTTGAAAATTCAAGAAATTAGAAACAGATAATGAACGTAAAGAACACGAGATCTTACTTCGAAAACGTTGGAGCCGACTAATAAGTCAGATTGACAATGGGATTAGAATGGAAATATATAGCTTTAGAGAGATGAAATGAATGATGATAGGAGGGTTTATGGGTTTTTTTCCTTAAGAAGAGGAGAATTTGATTTCTGGGTTTAAAATCTTCTTTTTGATTTAATGATTAATGGGATGGAGAAGAGAAACAAAGGTTTTACCCAAAAGCTTCCCTTCCCTGTGCTTCACATTGTGACAGGCTTAAAACCAACAAAACCAACCAAAACCGATCACCTTTATCCGGTTCAGTTTTTTCGGTTTTCTTTACATACATCAGTCGGTTCGGTTTTTATAATAGATTAAGTCAATTAAATCAGTTATTCAATTTTTACAACTGAATTAACTGAACCGACCATTTGCTTAGCCCTATCCAGAACTTATCACTGAGAAACTTCTCCCAAACATCCCATATTTAACCCACAGCAAGTCACCATATATCATCATACATAGGTTAACAGATATAAATACATACAAATTAAAACAACAGCCAAATCAAAGTCAAATCGGTTAAGGAAATTTCAGGTAAAAAAATCCAAGGTTACCGAAATTGAAATGGAATGAAGAATATTAATTTTCTACCTGAATACCAGCATGGCTGCAAAGATAAAAATCAAATTCTGTTGGATGACAGATTTTCGAATCAACAACAGTGCCTGAAAAACAAAATACAACACCATTACAACAATTAATGATCCTCAAGCTGTGCAATGCCCATTTATCTTTAATAATCAAATTATCCATGAGACTTGATCTTTCACCAGGTAAAATGTTTCCACTCTTGTCTGTGCTGCTTCGGTCCCTGTGATTATTAGCAAACAATCGAGTGTGGTGTCGTTTTTGTACAACAATGAAAGTCACTGGCGGTTGATAGTTTGGTTCTAGAGAAGCACAGGCCTGCAAATAAATTCTATCAGAACCATAGATGTCCCCAAATCTGTTTAAATTGATTTAAAAACAGTTATCAGAAAAGAAACTGTATTAATACTCACCTTCCGTATTGCATCTAGCTCGTACAGCAGAACTTGATAAAATTGCCCTTCACTAACACCATCCCTGCTCAAATGATTTACCCAATTATTACCCGACATGAAGGGTCTACCACGTATGAATATGCATGAACAGTGGATCCAACCCACTTTAATTGTTTAAATGCAGGACTACAAGTCAACGCAAGGCTTTCACAATACAAAACATGGCTAAGCAGGCATCCATGTACTCCTACTAAATGCATGTCAGAGTTACAGATGCATGAGTCCACTGCTAGCATATCAGCTCTCCCAGATATGATGCAAAAAACCTAGACAACTCTTCTTGGCCTCCTAAAACTTTGGGAATGGGACTTCTATCTCAAGTTCAATTTTAATGAAGGTATGGCAACTGAGAATGAAATACAATAGCAGAAATATATACCAACAAATCCTTCATCACAAACCTGTAAAATATAATCCTCAGAGGCTTCTGCCCTGTTGCCTTCCTAAAGGATACCAGAAGATCCCTACACGAGAAATTGTAATTAGAAATGAAAGTGCATGCTACTTCATGGTTAAAAGTACTGGTCTGGTGGAATTGACATCGGCTTACCTGATCATGCCACCACTAACTGTGCCACGGACAGGATCCTGCCACGTTTTGTACAAGTCCTGTATGAGTTCCTGTCTATGAGCTTGAGCACAAACTAGTCCGGCATATTTTGTCACTTCAGGCCAATCTTGTGAAGCTACAACCTAGAGAACCAGTATATTTCAGAAACCAGAGTCTAACTATTAGCACCAGAGTCCAACTATTAGAACAAGGATGAAAACAAGTTTGACGAATATAAACTAGAAAAAAGAATCATACTGCTGCAATTGAGGGGCTGGAATCTTCTCCATTTTCTGGGTGAGTCACATCTGCTCCAAATATTATGGTTGGTATGTCACTGACTAATGGTATTCTGCAGCTGATAGCATCCAAAAGAACAGTGTTTCTGCCACCCATCTGCATCAATGATGAAGGATAGCCATTTATTGGGGACTTTCACATATATTGTGAAAAGGGTTTAGAGGCATATGTACTGACCAAAATGTTGGTTTAAAGTTTGAAACCATATCATTTTTGGGAACAAACTAATTTATTGTATATAACTGGGAGAAATGATTTAACCTTAACATTGATCTTGAGGGCCACATTAGCCAAGTATTGTTTACTGATCTTGAAGACATGTTTATTGAGACAGCATTGAGATATCAAGCCTAGATCAGTTTCACAAATTCGCTTGAGATCACCTGAAGAAGTAGAATGATGTCATTCTTCCAGTTTTCCAACCTTCCATCCTTTTGGAAGCAAAGGAGGGTAGGATTTAAGGAGTCACCTTAAGCACACATAAGCACAGAGGAATAAAGCATACATCAAAGGATTAGAACTGCAAACCATCATGACATGACATACCATAAAGTGACCCATTGTTGTCAGGCAATATAGCTAATAGAAGCTCTAGTTCTTTTCCCTTAGATTTATTCATGGATGCATGATAAACATGCTTCAAAGCTTTTTCCACTTGCTCTGGCCTGGCACTGTATATTGGAATAACAGGCTCTGGATTGAACTCCTATAAAACAGCAATGACTTACAAACTTATAGTCCACTGAAATTATGAAATACAAAAAATAGAGGAAAGAAACTAGAATTTACTGATCTTAAATGCCCAAGATTATAAGATATAGAAAACTACCATGCCAGAAACTTGGCACATTTGAGCAAGTTCATTGCAAAACCCACGGGCAACAGTCTCTTGCACACTTCGTGAGAAGTTAATACATGCCCATCGGCTAACAGTCATCCCATTGATCATTTTCTAGATCACATAAAAATGAGGCCAAAATATCAGCAAAACAAGCTAGAAAAGTTATAGGTCTAGCTAAAAGAACAATTATAAGATCCTCTAGACTTTAGTGCTAATGACCCATCCAAGAGAGCACACTCAACAAGAACTACACTGAAGAGACATGAACCCATGCACCACATGCTTAGCTTATATTTTTGTAAACTAGGCATAAGAAAAAGAGCCAAGTGCTCCTACCTTGTACCTCAACCGATCAGCAAACTTGATTAGCTTAAAAAATGGTATAAATCTTCAGAAAAATTTCAGAAAATCTTGATTAACTTCCCTGTCCCTTCTATAATTTTTCTCTTTTCCTTGCTTAAAATAGAACATGCGAAGGGTTGGAAAAGGAGAACACACCAGTACTTACGAAAGAAAATGAATAATATTGAAAATATACAAGAGAATATTACCTTGTTCATCATATTCCACTGCCCCACTTGAGGCAGACAATCCTTTTCTTTTCCAGTTTCATGATATTTCAGCTGCAAGGAGCCAATGAAATGGTCAATAATGAATAAAAAATCATTTTTCTTGCCGATTATGCAGAAATTTTATGATATATTACCCAAGGGGCAGGAAGGATTCGAGCCTCAACCGAAGCAAGTTTTTCACTGATTTTGATTCCAAACTCCTTTGCATAAGGATCTTGGTAGTAAGCATTATGTTGAACTGTCTGCTTGTGTTAAATTGCAGGAAAGACAATGTCATTGCTAAAATCAGGTAAATACTCAAAAGACTCTGAAGATAATAAACCAATAAATTCTATTTCAGATACCAGCATCTTAGTCCTTTTTAAGGATTCACTTCTCCATAAGTCAGCAACTTAATGTATAGAGTCAATTATTTGCATCAATTTCATCCTCACATTAACATACATTTCCAAGGAGAAATAGAAATTTTAGCAGACTTAGAATAGCTTAGCAACTTCCTAAACTGTTCCACAGGTTATGTATTGTAGGAATTCTGCGGTGCTTTGGTCATCACTCATCAGAAAGACCAAGATTATAAATCCTACAATGTAAAGTTTGCACAAATACACAATGGCGTAGTTTGATATACATACAAGATTGCAATATAAGCGCACCTGCAAAATGTCATTTTCCCGATCTCTTGGTCTTTGGCATGTGACTTTCAATAGAGCAGTAATTTGTCTCTCATTCAATCTTTTTGTATATCGTTGTCCCTCAACAATTTTGCAAGCCTAACAAAGCAAAGAGTCCAGATTTCTCATGAGAGTCTGCCAAAAGAAAGAAAAAGAAAAAATTTACTGAGAAAATGATAAATTTTCCAATGACATCTTCCGACCTCCATAGGTAAATAATTTGCCTTCCTCTGGTTTCCTACTTGAAGGCAAGGTAGATGTGTATGCTGAATTGTGAAGCCATACATCTCTTGGAAGTATTCAACAACAGACTTCATGGTCGAGTTGTCATCAACAGGAAACCTGAACAAAGCACCATAGGTAATACTAATAAGGAGAGGGTAAACACTCATCAAGATCATACATCCTAGAAAGGTAAGAGAAACTTCTTTATTTCACTGTCATTCAAGCTCTAATATATACTTGATTTGCTACAGAAATTCAAGGAGAAATCAGAAAAGAAAAGAGCTGAAACTTACACTAGTTCTCTAGTAGGCTGAGAAGTCAATCCTGAAACACGGTATTTTCTTCGTACATTCCCCCTATGTGTCACCTCTACTTTCACTCCTCTGAGTGCCTTTTTAATCTGTCATTTATTTCAACTTTAATTATGATTAAATCAAATGCCAAGAATGAGACCACGCTGCAGCAGCAGTAAAAAGAAAAAGATACCTTCACACGATCAGAATCAGACAATTGCCTCGATAATACACCCTGGCCTAGAAGCTGAGCGCCAAACTCTATTACAGGGAGAGGCTCAATGAATGCAGCTGAAGCCATATCTGTTACAAAAGATAAAATAGAGGTAAAAACAAAATATGAGAAACATTAATCAAAGGTAACTGCCAAGTAATTTTGTAAATTTTATCATTATTCATACCAATATTCAGAGACAAGCCCATCTGAGTAGGCCTAATACTCTGGTAAAAACCACACCATGACTCCAAACCATCACCAAGCCTTTTTGGTGCTCTAATATCAGGTGAAAAGAAGTATCTCCCAATAGGACAGTAACTAAACAGCATCAGACAGTGTAAGATGCCCAGAACAACAATATTGATAACAAGAACCATTTTTCCATAAACACAAACACTTTTCAGTCTCGTACCTCTTTGTCGATAGCTGCCGTAATACAATGTCAAGAATCTGCAAAGCTTCTTGTGGAGCATCAGCGCGCTTACCAGCTAGAAATTGGCCTAAATGATGCATGTTTGCTCGCGCAACAAACTTTATTACCACTTTGTATTCTCTTTCTCTTCTGTAAAATCATATAGATGCCATTGGAGATCAACACAAAAGAAATTAATGCATATCTATACTACTTGAGTAAATTGAAAAAAATATAATGAGAGAGAGAAATGGTAAAATAATTTAATCTTTATATTTATTTCCTTTTCATGAACTGTTGTCAAGGAAGTAAAACCCACATTGCACAAGAAAAGAAAGTAGAATGTCCATGAAAAAGGAAAAAGAAGAGACAATTCGTACTCACTTGGGGCCATTGATGCCATCCTCTTTATCTACAAGCTTGATGGTGAACTCTTTCCGAGAAAAAGGAAGTTCACCGGCCGTGTACAGACTCTTTCTGCCATCATAAGCAGGCAATCTCATTCCTAAATCTGATTCTTTGTACAATCTCACAAGCTCTGCCATAATTGCCCTATTCATCGTTTTGGATGCCACTTCAGGAGTTATTCTAACCTGCAAAGAAGCAGAACACAGGTTGCAGAAAGGCAAACAACAAGGAGAACAAAATTTAAACACCATAAATGCCATTAAAAGAAAGGACATGGTGAGAACAGAAATCTTATTCAATTTCATCTTCAATGCAACAGAAAAAATGAAAAGACGACTATGTCAGATTAAGGCCCCCCACCCACAAAATATTGCCATGAAACAAATTATAAAATCCACAAACTTAAAAAAGATACTACATAAGATGTCTTTGCTTTGCTGCAGTAATACGATGAACCCTATTTAATGTAAAAAACACAATACAAGAAAAAAGAGCTTACATCATACTGGTTCAAGTCCTTGTCTGGTAACTCTGCAAAGAAATGATTAGCCTTTACAATACACTTTGTCCCAACTTGACCATAACCAGGCCTAGGTGCAAAATTCAAAGACTTGCTTGAAGTAGGAAACCCCATTTCCGTTCCAGAAGAACTATGACCGTTCTGAATAGACTCATTTGAAGTTGCTGCCACAAGATCAGTAGCAAATGGACGCACTGGGTTATGTGCTACCCTGCAGGGCCTTGAACTTGGTCTCATACAAACATCCCCTTGATCAGATTTTCTACCACCTCTTCCTCTTCTTCTTCCTCCATTCTTTGATGGAGGTGAGGTTTGGTTATGGGGTTGTTTTGTGTTCTGTGGTTCATGAGCTGCTGGAAGAGGACCTTTGCCATTTTGTGCAGTTTTTGGTGCTCTTTGAACTGGGTTCATAGTGTTTTGCAAGTGATTTTTTATCACAAGGTGTTGCACTGAGTTCTCTTTCATTTGCTTTATAGGCATAGTAGCCAGCTTTTCTTAACTTGCTCACTGAAACTGATACGACACAAGAACAAAAGCTTTGTCCAAAAGAGTTAAAAGAAGATGGACTATTTTCACGAAATGGCACACGCATAAAGAACTGGTTTCTCCTCTATTCTCATACTTGTTACCTCTTCCTACCCTTCACGGATTAATCACCCTTTCAGTTTGAAAATACAAGAAACAAATAGGGAAATGTACGTCAGTGAAAAAACACCAAATCTTGCAAAAACTGCAGAAGATTAAAAAATAAATGTTGATAATGCACCAAAGTTGCATAGACAAAAGTAAATGGCTATGGGAAAAAAGTCCAGACTTTCTTGCTCATTACAAGCTTTACCATTCTTTTGCAACACTAATCCCTCAATCATTCACCTTTTTTTCAGCATCTTACTCCCAAAACAATATGCTACTAAAATTAAAATTCATGAAAAAATAAAATAGAAATGCAAAACTTATAACTATAGACACCATTTTATAAGTCCGTTTAAAATAGAAATGCAAAAAAGACCTCAAAAGGCCAAGCAAAGGAGGGACAAAAAAAGGCACAAAACCCCAAACCAGGCTCCGAACTAAAAAAAAGAATCAGCTCTGCAACTTGAAAAAAGAAATGGCAAGAAGCAAAGACAAACTGAACATCAACTCCAAAACCAAACCTTCTCGAGAAGCCTCTATTGTGAAACCAATGACCATAAAATCGTAAGACAGACAACATTAGCAAAATGAGTTAAGAATTATTTTATAACAATACCCAAAACAAAAAGTGGTTATATCCAGAAGACAAAACCATTCCCCTAGGCTTGTCCCTACCAAAAACTGAAATTTTATTAGGAAAAAGAAAAAAAAATCAGACCACAAATAAATATAAGCCCAAGCAGATAAAAACATAGCAACAGCATTAAAGAAACTTCATTTATTTTATTTATTTTTTATGTAAAGAACAGATTCTGAAACCATGATGAGACTTGGTATATAGTAAGAATAAAAGCCATCTAGAAGAAAACCAGAAAACAAGAACATGTATACAAAGAGAAGGAATAAACATTGAAAAGGGCAGTGAAATCACTATCTCATGGTTATCCCAAACAAAAAAAATACAAAAATTTAATGATTGAGAAAATAAATAAAATGAAGCCATTAAATGCATCGTAAAATATTGCTAGTATACCCCAAAAAAACTCACCAAGCAAGTGGAAAAACATACAAAGCAGTGAACTTTGAAGCAAAACAAGAGAGTAGAGAAGAGGATAGAAAAGATGGGTTGAAGCCGGAGAAGGCGAATAGAGATTAAAAGAAAAGGCAAAAGTGGGAGATAAAAGATGGGTTTTTGAGGAGGATTCAGAGAAGTAAAGAGAGAGATGGCGTAGTGAAAGAAAGGAGATGATGGTGGTGAATCTTTATACACGCACGGAAAGTGCTTTTGGTGTTTTCTTTTATCATGTGTAAAAGCCTTTGTGAGCCCCTCTCTCTCTGCTTTTAAAAAAATGGCTTTGGCCTTAGCTTAGCCTCCTCTTTCTCTCTCTTTTCGCTTTGTTCTTGGTTCTGAACTGATGGCGCAGCCTCGGGGACGTACCATGACATATATTTTTTTAAGACTAATAAAGTAAAAACCCCTGTCTTTGAAAAGCACATACATTATTTATGTATAGATATGGATAGTTGGATACATAAACAGAGAAAGTGGTTGGCTTTGGTGATGGTGTTCCGGTGGAGGAGGGATGGATGGGGCTTTGCTAAATAGTCCAAAACAACTAACTGAGGATTTTATAAAAGCAATCATACACAGAAGAAGAATAATTCGAACTTGCAGTACTCTCTCCTGCACCTTCTCCATTTGCTGTAGTCCTTATGTAATGCTTTGCTTTGCCTTCCTCTCTCTCTCTCTCTCTCTCTCTCTCTCTCTCCCCAAAACCATAAAACATTTTTTTATTAAATTAAATTAAAAATATCTATTCTACACATACTACTTCTATACCGTCCATCTTCATAAGGCTATTTGTAACGGTCGATTTATTAGAGATTGGTGTTTGGGTCCTCCTTTTTTGATGTGGCCACTGTGCCCACTAGTTTTTTTTGCCTTGTCATCGTGTTGACTATTTGTTTAAATTAAATGAACTCGGCTATAGAAAGTTTACATTTTTTAAATTATTTAGTACTATTAAATTTTAAAAATAAAAAAAATGGCAAAAGTAATAATCATATGTTAAATTTTGGCGACAAAATGATTGTATAGATAAATTGGCTGGGTAGAGAATGACAAATAAGTTATGCTAGTACTACTACTATATACCAGTATTTATATACCAAGAAAATCAAGTTTCCATCCCAAAAAAAATTATGAGTGCATTGGATTGGGTCCACTTTGTTATTGTTTTGGGACCCAGAGATCAAAGGTACTGATGTGGTCATGTGGTGGGGGTAGGAATGTACACTATTATACCTTATGATGGATCAGTGGACTCTGAGAGTTACAGGACAAAAGACCAGCAAAGAGGTGTGTATTATGACATTCTGGACTTGAGGAGATTTTGGGTCCCAGCTTTAAGACCTTAAGAATATGCTAAAGTTCATCCAATTTAAGTTTTTTGATGGAAGGGAAAGCCCCTCCCTCACTCATTATATTTTGGATGCTTCACATTGATGAACTGGTTTGTAGATCATTGTTTTGTTGACCAAGTTTCAAGATAGTTTGAAATGATTGTGTGTTTGTAGCCCTTGCTTTGGCCATTTGCCTCCAAATAAGATCATGCCACCAAGATCTTCTTGATTCTGTTAATTGGATGTCTATTAATTAAAGAGCAAGAAAAAAAAAAGGTTAGTATCATCACAAGATCTTGTGATGTGAGATTTACTCCAATGTTGGATAATGTTGGTGGCATGCATTCCCATAAAACTCCATCAAAGTATAAATGCACCAAATCATTACCCCAAAACAAGGCCATAAAAGAAAGAGAAAGGAAGGGTCAAAACTAAAAAAGGATTGGATATGGGTTTGTTTTGTTTTGTTTGCACATACAAATAGTTTTTGAAATTTTCTAATTTGAATGTCAATGAAGATATAATAGTTTTAGTGACAGTTGATACTAGGATAGATGGGCAAGGTTTGTTTTGTCTTGAGATTGGAATTTTTTTTGTCACCAAAAAATATACTAAGTGAAGGCTGTTTGGATTATGGGGAGGGTTTTATTCTTATCCGAATGTATGCGTACATATATATATATATATATATATGATAATTTGTATTTATTTTGTATCAAATAAATATAAAATATAAAAATTATCATATAATAATTTATATTATTGTATTAAATATAAAATACATTATATATTTTTATTAAATTTATATATAATTTTTATTCAAATTTTAAATTTTATTATTTAATATCTTTTTATTATTGTATTATATTTAAAATTTTTAAATAAATAAAAAAAAGTACAGTGGGACCCATCCTCCACGATACAAAGGGGTTACAAATAACAACACATCCCAACAACAACATTCCACATTGTACAGTGCTAATTGCTGCTATGATTCCACCCATCTCAACTTTGGCTGCTTTGCTGTTTGTTGGGGACACTGTGTTGTTCGACTTTCTAATGAGTAATAAAACAATTGGAGCACAGTGGCTTGTGCCCCAAACGCATAATCAGTGTGAATACGACATCCTTCCTTCAAAAAGTGTTGGCAAATAATAGTAATAAACAATATTTAATTGTAGGCCACAATTTTTTAATAATTCGAATCAATCCGAGGTTATTCAAAGTTTAATGAGGGTTAGAGTTTCTAAAATTGTGGCTGAAGGACTAAATCCTTAAAATTGAATTGTTATAAAGGCCAATCTTTGACTTCAAACTTAATTATCTATACATAACCTGCTAAATTCCTTCTGTCAAATAAGAAAACAGAAAGCATAATGGTACCTGTTGGAAATATAAGTGGAATTTAAAGCATTAACAAAATTGTCCGCTTAACAACCACTTCATTGGCCGCCAATTCAAATGAAATCTTAATTGATCACTTGAGTTTGGTTGAATTTGGGTATCAATCATCCCTTGTTATGTAAATTATAAGCCTTCCATATTTTTTCCTACTAAACAAAGAAAAGATCCTTTGTTAAATTATAAGCCTTTCATTTTTCTTTTTTACTAAACAAAGAAAAGGAAAATTTTCTACTCCAATAATATCATAATTATAGAATATGAAAAACTAAATTGAAGTTGAATTTTAATTTTCATTTAGTTGATTTATACAATTGTTCCTAAAAAATGTTATTCACTAGATATAGAGTTCAAATTTTAATAGTTGCAAAATTTTCCTCTATCCTCAGGAGTGACCTATTATGTTAAAAAAAAAATGAATTTCGGATCCATAAATTGAAAGAAATTTTATATCCAACTTGTTGGTTTCAAGACTTACAACTTCACAAACTTGTAGTTGATGATGATCTTCTACTTGTATCTTTGATTGTAGTTTTCCCTCCTTCAACTTTGTTGAACCTAAATTGGAAAAAAAATGAAATGGTTTCAAGGCATGCTACAACTGTCACTTTCTTTAAGGTTTATTTTGTCTCTACCAATTACGGTATGCAAAAAAGATATGTCAAAATGCCTCCAAGAATAAAATTTATATTTGATTTTCCTTATACGAAAAAAATTTAACCACCAAAAGGTCATTGATGAGAGACGAAAATACTTATTTTTAACAATATTTCTTGCAATAAAACAATACCAAAGAAACAAACCTTTATATTGAACAAATTAGAAAGAGAAGAAAAAGTTTTCTAAATCTGTTCATATCTTGAACTTATTGAAAAAAAAATCGCAACCAAATGAACACACATAATCTTTATTTATAAAGATTAATTCTATGGTTGTGTCTTTGATTGTGTTATTTCAATCAAATATCATTTCCTTTTATCAGAAAGATACATTTTTGAATCATTAAATTATATTAATTCATTTGAATGATCACTCTTTTTCATTCTAATAGAAATAATTTTTTATGTTTCAAAAAATTATAATTTTTCACTAGAGTAGTCGACTGCTCTCTAAAGGCAATTGACCACCTTTTTTATTTTTATTTCCAAAACGTTCCATGAATCAAGGCAATTGAATGGAATCTTAATGTGTGCACACCTTATTTTGTTCAAAAATTTTCTCATATTCAATGGGTTTTCAAATTTTATTTCAATAAAAGGTTGTGAATTTGTTCAATCGAACTTTAATTTATGAAATTGAATTTTAAGCCAAAATTTAAAGGTTGAAAAGTATTTTTTAAATTTATTTATATTTGTTGACAGATTGTGTATTAAATTAGGATCAATTTCTTGATTTCTTAGGATTTATATTTCTAATCTTTTATTTGTTTCTATCTTTGGACGATTGTGTCTTGATTTTGTAGGCTTTTGTGTACATATCAATTCCTCTATATTAAGGGATTATTTTTAATAAAATATATAGAGAGAACATTGTTTTTTAGTCTTTGATTACATGGTATGAGAGTAAGGTTTGCTTTTTTTTTTTTTCTAATGGCCAAAACAACCATGGCTAGTACCTTTCAAGACAATGCATCAGAGGTAACTTCTCAACTAATTCAAAATTGTTTTTTTGTCATTGATTACATGGTATGAGAGTAAGGTTTGCTTTTGATTTTTTTTTTTCTTTTCTAATGGCTAAAACAACCATGGCTAGTACCTTTTCAAGACAATGCATTAGAGGTAACTTCTAAATTGATTCAAAATTCTTCTTTAATGGCTCCTATTACAAGTGACTCGTATTCCCTGTAAATAACACAACATAAACTCAATGGAACTTACTTTCTAGAGTGGTCTCAATTTGTGATGCTTGTGATTCAAAGGAAAGGGAAAATTGGCTATCTGATTGGTGTAACAAAGGAACCAAATGAAGGAGAATCAAATCATTCAACATGGATTTCTAAAAAACTCTATGGTAATAGCATGATTAGTTAATTCTATGGAGTCCAGGATTGAAAGAACCTATCTTTTCTATAGAAGTGCTAAAGAAATTTGTGATATGTAAAGAGGATGTATTCAAATCTTGAAAACTCATCGTAATTCTTTGAAATCAAGTCAACCTTGAAAGATTTGAAACATGGGATAATTTTATAATTGAGTAATACAAAGACCTGACAAGCCTTTAGCAAGAAACATATTTGTTTTCTAATAAAAGTGGTATTGTGTAAAGGACAGCAAAAAATACAAAATGATGCTTGAAAAAAAAAGTTTTTATTTTCTCTATATCTAAATAAGGAGCTTGATAAGGTGAGAGGCAAATAATTGAACCAAACCCGTTCAAGCATTAGGGAGGCTTTCGTTGTACTAAAGAAAAAGTCGAATAGAGTTGTGTTAAGAAATAAAGAAACCATTGCTATAACACCTTCAAAACTACCTTATTTCTAAGAAAAATGATTATTCTAGACTTGGAGATTAACGTGATAATTGTAGGAATGATGGAGCTTAACGTGGTCATTGTCAATGCCCTTATTATACAAAAGAAACTTGTTGAAAAATTCAAGACAACCCAACAAATTGGAAACCATGCAAATAAAGAGAATAAGGGTTTTCAAGTTGCTATAGAAGATAACAAGGTTGAAGGTTTGATTTTAGCAATAAGCAACTTTAGTAGCTCCAAACACTCCTAAGCAACACCTAAATGACTGCACACCTTACTCCAAAGTGCACAATTGCACAAAAAGATAATTACCTTTCTACTTTATGTGCAATATAATTTTAAGAACTCTTGGATTATAGATTCTAAGGCATTCAACCATATGACCAATTGCCATAAACTATTTTCAACATATCATCCCTATC